ATAGGAGTGAATGGAGACAAATGGTTTTTAATACTTGACGTGCTGTTGGAGTGTGAGCAAAGTAACATTTATGAAGGGGTTCAGGGAAACCGGCAGGCCGGACTTGAGTCCTGGAGATGGGAAGTACAGTGCCTGCACTCTGAAGGAGGGTTGTTAATGTTGCAGTTTAAAAACTGTAGTGTAAAGCACCCTTCTGGCAAGACAGTGATGGAGTGAATGATGGTGAAAGTTTTTCTTTTTCGGGCCACCCTGCCTTGGTGGGAATCGGCCAGTGTGATAATAAAAAATAAAAATAATTATTTTTGTAAGTGCTTTTATAAGTGTATTTTTGAGGGTCTGAAATGGACTAATCTAATTTACAATATTCCTGATGGGAATAAATTCATTCGGTAAAGCCACTCGAACAGCCTTCTGGACCGAAGAAAGTTCGATATTTGAGGTTCCACTGTATTTGCAATCTCTGTTTTGTATGCATATTTGCACCTTTCGCAACAACAGCTTCCTTGATTGCCTTTTTCTTGGCCAAGGTAGAAGCGATGGTTGTATAGGGTTTGTTATGCAAACTTGCCAGCTCGGAGACACGCACTCCAATTTCGTATTTTGAGAGGATCTCTGTCTTGAATTCTAGTGTTTCTCACCCTTTTTACCAACGGGCTGGCACTAGATGCTTTCTTTGGGCCCATGGTGGCTTATTTAGCAGTTACAAGTACTAAAACAATGGAATAATACAAAATGTATCGCATGTGCACGGAATCGCCCTCACTGGCTTGTAAACAATGGCACACTGGCTGTACATGGAGTGGCCGGGTCGCTCACGGCACGCGGACACGTTCGGGACGAGTGACTTTAACCAAGTTCTGTGTCATTAACCAAGCCAGTATTTTGATGCAGAAACGCTACTTAATCCGATTATTACTTAATCCTATGACGTCTTAATCCAGGGGTCCACTGTACTTGCTATAGCAGAATGCCACTTCCAGACTACTAGTGGCATCAAAATTGAAAGTATGTGTGTCATGAATGTTGCATATGGATCATCTAGGTTATTGAGGTTTTCAATATTTCCTTGATCACCTGCAGCCACATCCATCCCAAAGCCACTAAAATGGGGTCAGCATCACTTTTCTCAAAAATGTGAGTGTTAGTATGACATGACATGAGTGAATCCCTGGGGCTTGCCATGCTGTTAGCTCTGGCTGGTGCTAAGATGAACTGGTGATCCTACAAGGTACTATGTAGTCCCAGATCTTTTAATACGGTGCACAACAAGTGCACAAGCCCATCCTCTACTGCCGAGGCCTATCAGGTCTCTGGTGCAAAATTTGAACGCAGGAAAAATAGGGTGTTGATCCACGCCTGGAGTGCTAGTGGAGATGCATTGATCAACTCCATGACAGTTAAAGAGTTAAAGGAACATGTGAACAGTGAAGAGAAAAATATCTTCTCTCTGTGGAATTGTTACCAATCTGATCCTACAAAGTTCAGTACCTTTTCCAATAATATAATATGTTGCAGTCAGAGAGGTAATCAGATTGTGATGTCAGCTTTCTAATGGAAGTATGGCAATTGAATAGATGTTGGTGAATGTTTTTTCTTCTTTGGGTTACCTTACCTTGGCAGGAAGGCTGTCAAGTTAACCCTTAAACTGTCCAAGCAGATCTACGTTCACATTCGTAGTGCTCCAAAAGTAGATCTACGTTTTTTTACATATTTTCAAATATAACAAAAAGAAAGTAGATCAAAGTTTTTTTACATGTTTTCAAATATAACAAAAAGAAAGTAGATCAAAGTTTTTTTACATGTTTTCAAATATAACAAAAAGAAAGTAGATCAAAGTTTTTTTACATGTTTTCAAATGTAAAAAAACAAAAAAGATGATCTACTTTTTTTACATACTTTCAAATGTTGAAAAAATGTAGATCTACGTTTGGACAGTTTAAGGGTTAAAAAAAATTGTGCCAAAAAGAATCTCAAATTATATAAGCATGTTTGGCAAGTGATGCAAAAATCCTATGCAGAATTAATATAAAAATATTGTAAAATCCTGCTAGTACAGTGGACCCCCGCATAGCGAACTTAATCCGTGCAAGAGGGCTGGTCGTTATGCGAAATGTTCGCTATGCGAATTAATTTTCCCCATAAGAAATAATGGAAATAAAATTAATCCGTGCAAGACACCCAAAAGTATGAAAAAAAAATTTTTTTACCACAAAAAAATGTTAATTTTAGTACACACAAACTGAAAAAGGCATGCACAATTACATGACACTTACTTTTATTGAAGATCTGGTGATGATTGATGGGATGGGAGGAGGGGAGAGAGAGTGTTAGTGTTTAGAAGGGGAATCCCCTTCCATTAACACTTGAGGAGGCAAGTCCTTTTCGGGGGTTACTTCCCTTCTTCTTTTAATGCCACTAGGACCAGCTTCAGAGTCACTGGACTTCTTTCTGTCCATAGAGCTCTGTACCTCCCGTTCCTTTACGATTTGTCTAAAATGGGCCATAACATTGTCATTGAAATAGTCACCAGCACGCCTTGCAACAGCTGTGTCAGGGTGATTTTCATCCATAAAGGTTTGCAGTTCAACCCACTGTGCACACATTTCCTTAATTTTTGAAGTAGGCACAATGGATTCCACAACTGGCATAGGCTTCTCAGGTTAGCCCCAAACCCTTCAAAATCTTTCTTAATTTCCATACTAATTCTCACCCTTTTTACCACAGGGTTGGCACTAGAAAGCTTTCTTGGGGCCCATGGTCACTTATTTTCAACAAACAGAACCGAAAACACTGTAATAATACGAAATATTCCGAGTGTATGCTTGAATGTTACCGCGGAGGCTAGCTGGTAAACAATGGGACAGGCGGCACATGTGAGGCTGGCTGAGGCCGCACATTGGACGCGTCTCGGACGAAGTTCGCTGAGCGGGTTTTTGTCTACTATGCGGGGCAAAATTTTAGCGATCAAAGCGTTCGCTATGCGGAATGTTCGCTATGCAAGGCGTTCGCTATGCGGGGGTCCACTGTACATAATTTGAGCAGATGAAAATACAGTGGAACCTCAAAAATCGAACGTATCACATATCAAACGTTTCGAAAATAAGACCATTTTTTCAGACAAACTGTGCCCCTATTATCGAACGCGCCCCTATTTTCAGACCACCGGGTACGGGACCTGTCCGCTGGCCCGCTCTGTCCGCTTCCCCTTGCAGGCACCGTGAGCAGTCTATCTTTGTTTATGCTTGAGTGAACACTAACCTGCGATCTCTTTCACACATTTTACGATTATTTAATTGTGTTTAGTTCTCATGGGGCTGTGAAATAAGCTGCCATGGGCCCAAAGGAACTTGATAGCAGTACCCCTGTGGTAAAGAAAGTGAGAAACACCATAGATGTGAAGAAGGAAATAATACAGAAGTATGAGATTGGAGTGAGACTTGTTGAGCTTGCCAGGATGTACAGAGGACTGTGGGCAGTTATTTTGTGAGACAGAAACAGACGACTGTGGACAGTTATTTTGCGAGACAGAAATAGACGACTGTGGACAGTTATTTTGTGAGACAGAAACAGATGACTCTGGAGTTTTGTGAGACAAACAGACGATTGTGGACAGTTATTTTGTGAGACAGAAACAGACGACTGTGGATAGTTATTTTGTGAGACAGAAACAGACGACTGTGGACAGTTATTTGTAAGACAGAAACAGACGACTGTGGACAGTTATTTTGTGAGACAGAAACAGACGACTGTGGAGTTATTTTGTGAGACAGAAACAGACGACTGTGGACAGTTATTTTGTGAGACAGAAACAGACGACTGTGGACAGTTATTTTGTGAGACAGAAACAGACGACTGTGGACAGTTATTTTGTGAGACAGAAACAGACGACTGTGGACAGTTATTTTGTGAGACAGAAACAGACGACTGTGGACAGTTATTTTGTGAGACAGAAACAGACGACTGTGGACAGTTATTTTGTGAGACAGAAACAGACAACTGTGGACAGTTATTTTGTGAGACAGAAACAGACGACTGTGGACAGTTATTTTGTGAGACAGAAACAGACGACTGTGGACAGTTATTTGTAAGACAGAAACAGACGACTGTGGACAGTTATTTTGTGAGACAGAAACAGACGACTGTGGACAGTTATTTTGTGAGACAGAAACAGACGACTGTGGAGTTATTTTGTGAGACAGACGATTGTGGACAGTTATTTTGTGAGACAGAAACAGACGACTGTGGAGTTATTTTGTGAGACAGACGATTGTGGACAGTTATTTTGTGAGACAGAAACAGACGACTGTGGATAGTTATTTTGTGAGACAGAAACAGACGACTGTGGACAGTTATTTTGTGAGACAGAAACAGAGGACTGTACACAGTTATTTTGTGAGACTGGGGTACAATAACTCTCAAGCTGGTCCTAGTGGCATTAAAATACAGAGAAGGGAAGCAACCCCAGAGAAGGCTTTGATACCGGAAGTCCTCATGGAGGGGGATTCTCCTTCCAAACAATAACCTCAACTCCCTCTCTCCTCCTCCCTATCTTCCAGATGCCATCACCAATCTTCAATAAAGTTAAGTAAAAATGTTATTTTATATTACTATACATAATTAAAGACTATAGCATTTGTTGTGTCTATGTAAAACTGTAATTAATCTCTATAAAATGTATTTTTTTTTTTTTGTGAATATTTTTGGGTTTCTGGAACGGATTAATTGCATTTCCATTATTTCTTATGGGAAATATTGCTTCGAATTTCAGACTTTTCAAATTTAGAACTAGCTCCTGGAACGGATTAAGTTTGAAATTTGAGGTTCCACTGTGCAGATAGTGAATTTTAGTGTGCATATATTTGTATATAAGTGTGATTACATATTTGTAATGCTCAGCTTTGCAGTGTGGGTGTGTTTAATAAGCATGTAGTATATATGAGAGGTATAAGGTAGTATATAGACTGCTGCATATTAAATAACATGACATACTTGTGTTACAGCCGGGATAAGAAACATCGTCACCGCAGTGACAGATATGTGGATGATAGAAATCCTCGAGACTTTGCTGACCTGCTAGAGCGAGAGAAATATCGCATTAAGAAGGAAAAGAAGAAAGAAGGCAGGTATGTTAATGTAGTTTCATAGTCAAGTTGCCTCCCTAGTGCACCAGGATTACTGTTTTCTGTTATAATATTACAGTACACCTTCAGTTTAACTGATTAAAAAGTGTGAAGTGGATTGGTGATAGTGGCAGTTGTGGTGGATCAAGAAGACATTGTTTTCCTGTGATTGTAGCAATGACAGACTATTTTGTAATTAACCCCTTGAGGGTCCTGACCCCCAATCAGAAAATTAAAAAAAAAAAAAAGTTATTTTTCCTTAGGAAATGGTAGAGAATCTTTTTCTGAACGTAATAAAACAAAAAGTATGAAATTTGATAAAAAAAAAAATGACAAAATTACGTTCTTGCAAATTTTGCCATGTCAACAATATTTATGCATCGGCAATTTTGCCCACTTTGACTCCTATTTTCAGTAAATTACATAGTTCCATTAGACCAAATTTGTAGCTATTTGGCTACTATGTGTTCCATTTTATCTATTGAGCACAGGAAATTGCCCAGTCAACTATTTCAACTACCCAGTAAAGTAATCAGAAATTGGTAATTTGGCCAATTTCACACAGTTCAAAATATTCCAGTTTCAAAATAGGGTCCAGAATAAACAATGCAGGCATTCTTGGCACTAAAATAACATTTCCTCTGTTAATTAGTTACATTTCCAGGCTTCACACACAAATTTCATTTTGATATTTTTATTTACATAAAGAATTTTTATTCACACCAAAAAATAGAGGATTTTCTGTTATGTAATATTGTAATAATTATTATTATTATTATTATCACACTGGCCGATTCCCACCAAGGCAGGGTGGCCCGAAAAAGAAAAACTTTCACCATCATTCACTCCATCACTGTCTTGCCAGAAGGGTGCTTTACACTACAGTTTTTAAACTGCAACATTAACACCCCTCCTTCAGAGTGCAGGCACTGTACTTCCCATCTCCAGGACTCAAGTCCGGCCTGCCGGTTTCCCTGAACCCCTTCATAAATGTTACTTTGCTCACACTCCAACAGCACGTCAAGTATTAAAAACCATTTGTCTCCATTCACTCCTATCAAACACGCTCACGCATGCCTGCTGGAAGTCCAAGCCCCTCGCACACAAAACCTCCTTTACCCCCTCCCTCCAACCTTTCCTAGGCCGACCCCTACCCCGCCTTCCTTCCACTACAGACTGATACACTCTGTAAGTCATTCTGTTTCGCTCCATTCTCTCTACATGTCCGAACCACCTCAACAACCCTTCCTCAGCCCTCTGGACAACAGTTTTGGTAATCCTGCACCTCCTCCTAACTTCCAAACTATGAATTCTCTGCATTATATTCACACCACACATTGCTCTCAGACATGACATCTCCACTGCCTCCAGCCTTCTCCTCGCTGCAACATTCATCACCCATGCTTCACACCCATATAAGAGCGTTGGTAAAACTATACTCTCATACATTCCCCTCTTTGCCTCCAAGGACAAAGTTCTTTGTCTCCACAGACTCCTAAGTGCACCACTCACCCTTTTCCCCTCATCAATTCTATGATTCACCTCATCTTTCATAGACCCATCCGCTGACACGTCCACTCCCAAATATCTGAATACATTCACCTCCTCCATACTCTCTCCCTCCAATCTGATATCCAATCTTTCATCACCTAATCTTTTTGTTATCCTCATAACCTTACTCTTTCCTGTATTCACTTTCAATTTTCTTCTTTTGCACACCCTACCAAATTCATCCACCAATCTCTGCAACTTCTCTTCAGAATCTCCCAAGAGCACAGTGTCATCAGCAAAGAGCAACTGTGACAACTCCCACTTTGTGTGATTCTTTATCTTTTAACTCCACACCTCTTGCCAAGACCCTCGCATTTACTTCTCTTACAACCCCATCTATAAATATATTAAACAACCACGGTGACATCACACATCCTTGTCTAAGGCCTACTTTTACTGGGAAAAAATTTCCCTCTTTCCTACATACTCTAACTTGAGCCTCACTATCCTCGTAAAAACTCTTTTATCTACCAATACATAATCCAACAAACTACTGTCATTTCGCCCTACATCATATCTTGTATACTTATTTATCCTCTTTTTCTTAAAATATGTATTACCTATAACTAAACCCCTTTCTATACAAAGTTCAATCAAAGGGCTCCCATTATCATTTACACCTGGCACCCCAAACTTACCTACCACACCCTCTCTAAAAGTTTCTCCTACTTTAGCATTCAGGTCCCCTACCACAATTACTCTCTCACTTGGTTCAAAGGCTCCTATACATTCACTTAACATCTCCCAAAATCTCTCTCTCTCCTCTGCATTCCTCTCTTCTCCAGGTGCATACACGCTTATTATGACCCACTTTCTCATCCAACCTTTACTTTAATCCACATAATTTTTGGGAATTTACACATTCATATTCTCGTTTCTCCTTCCATAACTGATCATTCAACATTACTGCTACCCCTTCCTTTGCTCTAACTCTCTCAGATACTCCAGATTTAATCCCATTTATTTCCCCCCACTGAAACTCCCCTACCCCCTTCAGCTTTGTTTCGCTTAGGGCCAGGACATCCATCTTCTTTTCATTCATAACATCAGCAATCATCTGTTTCTTGTCATCCGCACTAAAACCACGCACATTTAAGCATCCCAGTTTTATAAAGTTTTTCTTCTTCTCTTTTTTAGTAAATGTCTACAGGAGAAGGGGTTACTAGCCCATTGCTCCCGGCATTTTAGTTGCCTCATACGACACGCATGGCTTACGGAGGAAAGATTCTTTTCCACTTCCCCATGGACAATAGAAGAAATAAAGAGGAACAAGAGCTATTTAGAAAAAGGAGAAAAACCTAGATGTATGTATATATATATGCATGTGCGTGTCTGTGAAGTGTGACCAAAGTGTAAGTAGGAGTAGCAAGATATCCCTGTTATCTAGCGTGTTTATGAGACAGAAAAAGAAATCAGCAATCCTACCATCATGCAAAACAGTTACGGGTTTCTGTTTCACAGTCATCTGGCAGGACGGTAGTACTTCCCTGGGTGGTTGCTGTCTACCAACCTATAATATCAGTGCATTTGTGAATGCACATTAGACCCACCAATTGACGTGTACGGGATGTATGATGTGATTTTTTTACTCTACTCTTCTCCTTGATCCTTCATCATGGGTGTCTTCCCAGATCCTTCATCATGGGTGTCTTCCCAGATCCTTCATCATGGGTGTCTTTTCTTGTTTCTGCACCCTTCCCTCACCCTTTCCACACACTCCTCACTCCCATCTTTCTTGCCTCACCCCTCATCCCTTATCTTGGATCTGCCTTTTCCCTTCTTCTTCTGCCTTTGCCTACCCAGTCTGCCTCTCTCCTCTGCCTCATAGTACATTCCAAAGAAAGGATTACCCACATGCACTTCATCACATCATCTAGATAGTCCTGTTCTTGGTGAATCTTGGTTTAATCTAAATAACTCTGACACCTAGGTAGTAGGTTGGTAAACAGCAACCACCCAGGGGGGTACTACCGTCCTGCCAAGTGAGTGTGAAACGAAAGCCTGTAATTGTTTTAAATGATGATATGATTGCTGGTGTCTTTTGTCTCCTAAATATGCAAGATTTCAGGTACGTCTTGCTACTTCTACTTACACTTAGGTCACACTACACATACATATACAAGCATATATATATATACACACACCCCTCTGGGTTTTCTGCTATTTTCTTTCTAGTTCTTGTTCTTGTTTATTTCTTCTTATCTCCATGGGGAAGTGAAACAGAATTCTTCCTCCGTAAGCCATGCGTGTTCTAAGAAGCAACTAAAATGCCGGGAGCAAGGGGCTAGTGACCCCTTCTCCTGTGTAAATTACTAAATTTAAAAAGAGAAACTTTTGTTTTTCTTTTTGGGCCACCCTGCCTCAGTGGGATACGACCAGTTTGTTGAAAAAAAAAAAAACTAGGTAGTAGGTTGGTAAACAGCAACCGCTCGGGAAGGTACTACTGTTCTACCAAGTGAGTGTAAAACGAAAGCCTGTAATTGTCTTACATGATGGTAGGATTGCTGGTGTCTTTTTTCTGTCTCATAAACATGCAAGATTTCAGGTACGTCTTGCTTCTTCTACTTGCACTTATGTCACACTACACATGCATGTACAAGCATATACAGTTGTCCCTCATTTATCGTCGTTAATCTGTTACTGGAAGTGCGACGATTATTAAAAAACACAATTTTCGAATCAATTTTCCCCATAAGAAATAATGTAAATACAATTAATCCGTTCCTGACACCCAGAAGTATTAAAACAAAAAATTTTTCACATGAAATATAGATGTAGTACATAAACAATACAATGGGACATGATGAATGAAACATTAACAGCATAACACTTACCTCTATTGGCGATTCTTCTTAGTGTATAGAAGACTGGAGGAGGAGGAGATTGCATTAGTTACTGTTTGGAAGAGGAATCCCTTTCCATCAACACCTCAGGCACCAAGTGCTTTCTGGGGTTACTTCTCTTCTCTGTTTCTTAATGCCACTAGGACCAGCTTGAGAGTCACTGGAGTCCTGTCTCACAAAAAAAGTGTCCAGAGAGCTGTTTCAAGCGTCTCTTTAAAACTTCCCTAAAATGGGCCAAGACTCCGTCACTGTACAAGTTGCCGATATGGCTTGCAACATCCTTCTCAGGGTGATGCTTCTCCATAAATCTTTCTATCCTACCCCACATTTCACCATGCCTTATCACACTGTGTATGCCACTACGCTTCTTAAATCTCTCAAACCAACCTTTGCTGGCCTAATTGTTTCTCGTTTATTCACACCAATAATAACTTCTCAACATCTTCGAGTACTGGTGATCTCATTTTTGTCAGCATATTTACCCCCTTTGCAACAACAGCTTCCTTGATTTCATTTTTCTTGGCCACGATGGAAGATATGGTTGTACGGGATTTGTTATACATCCTGGCCAGTTCAGCCACACGTATGCCACTTTCATATTGTTCAATG